TTAAACACGAAGGCGCGCTATAAAAGGAGCCTTAGGTCCCACTGGACCATTTGTCAATCAACCGTCGTGTGATGTAGAACTCTTAGAGTCAAGTCAGCTTGAGCTACAGCTACTCCAAAGCAGTGAACAGCGGGCGCATTCCTCAAAATTGTTTTATGTCTTCATCACAATACAAGAATTTTTGAGATTTGTATTTCCTTTCTCCAATGGAAACTGTCTTTATTTGTGGCGGTAAATTTGAGATCGAAGTAGGTGGTTCGCACGTTACCTCATGCCACCATGCTGGTGGAAGTAAACAATAGATATCTCATTAGCTCCTTTTGTTCGTCTACCAGCATTTAAATTTGACCCGCACACGTCAACGGTGAGTGACAAATGAGCCTAGGTCTTCCCAGGGAAGACTTCCTTATCTAGCGCGCCTTCGTGTTTAAATGCAGAAGATGGTACTTAATGCATGTAAAAGAACATTGTTTTTGGTGATGTTGTGTTTGATGACTATCCTGGATGAGGTCTGATAATATCCATATAACACTGTAGCAGATTATAGAAGATGTTATGCCCACTAAAAGGGGAATTTTCTGTGCTAGCTAATAATAATGAAAATACAGCTAATGATTAACTATAGCTTTTTGCATGGCCATGGCTGCAGGGTTGTAATCAAATAAAAAAAGAGAAATGAAACTTTCTTTGCAAATGAGGTGCACCCATTTAATCTTTTTAATTTAATGCACTCTTTGTGGTAATAACCATCTCACTTGTCAAAGTCTTCCAAGTGTCAAAATTGTTCGAAATGTTCACACCACAGCTATAACTTTGCTAAGGAGAAAAGTGAACTATTGACAGTGAATTGACCTAATTAAGACCTGCAAAATGCTTCTCATGACCTTTGATGGCTATCTTTGGAGTTTTTTTTTGAGACTGTAAACTGTGATATGCCTGGATAAGAGCTTGGATCTGACATTTAACTGGCAGTGACCTTTGAATCATGATATTTGATGTCACTCCACTCAAGAACTGTGACCGTTAGAAGCTGTAATATGAAAGGCGACACTTGGTTTTAAAGTGTTATATTTGACATGTTACTTGTGGTATATGATGTGATGCCAAGAAGAAAAATATCCACACAGGCATGTCTGGTAATTCCAATATCAATAACACTTCAAAAAATGTAACTTTTCCAGACATTTGATTAAGAAATGCAATCTACATAGTAGAGATCTTTGACAACGATTGGTGTGGAATTCAGTGACAGATACAGTAGAATTAACATGGCTTTGATTATGCTAATTGACATTCAGCTGATATCATAACTGGCACAGTAACCAGCTTACATGTGCAACAGCATTTACTTTGTGATTTTGAGTAACATTACATTCAGGATTCATGTACTTCCAGTACTTTGAAGTCTTAGCATTTAATATGTTTTCAATTTAAAAAATTAGAGTGGCTTTAGATAATGACTAACACATCCCACGATTACACCTTCAAGTATTGTTTTCCTGCAATTTTACACAGCACTTTCACTTCTATATTTATTTTGTCATTTCAAATTTTTTCACTGCAAAGTTCATGTTGTTTTAGGTTGAATGCACAAAAGGTGTGTTAAACAGAGAAGTTATTTTGGAGGTCAGATTGGCGTGATTTTTCCTTTATTTGTGTTGTTTTTACCATGGTGTCAGCTTGTCTTTTGTTGTTGTTTTCTTGTAAAAGATACTTTCATTTGCGCTCAAGGCACATTGCATTTTTTTTAGCATATTTTTGTTGAAAACAAGTTGCATGAAATAGTGGAAAGTGAATGTTAACTCAGTAAAATTCAGTTATAGTGCTTTGCCTTTTTCACAAGTGGAAGTTTGATTCCCTGTTTAAGAACACAAAACTAATAATTGTCTTCACAGGATCAAATTATTGCAGTTGTATTGATGTTTGTGCTTGTATGCCACAGTGAGCAGACCAATGCATGCTCTGGAATGGTCACTGCCCCAAGCCTATTTCAGCCTCAGATTAGATACCTAACTTCCCAAGAACAACTGTACATCAATGTTGAATTCCAGCCAACCCGTATTAATTTAGACTAGCTTGAATGCGAGTCATGCTGTGATCATAGGCCAACTTCAGTCACTGCTCCCTACATCAGTTGCATTCCTTTAAAATACATGACGATTAAAAGTACTATTGTACCTGGTTTGTCCCATGTGAAGTTCAGCATATGGTTCAAAGTTGGTCCACAGCCGTCAGTCCTTGCTAAACCTTGCAACTAACCTTTTCAGATTTTTTTCTTGTGTCGTGGGCCCAGTTGATGAATAGGCAGACAAAGCTGTCCAACAAATGAATTGCTATCAAACAAATGTTAATAAACTGTACTGCACGAGAAACCAGAGAGAGATTTATCTACTTAGATCTGATTGTTAATTCTCCCCTCTAACTACTTGACATTTCCTTGTAAATAAGATACAAGAATTTGGGTTTAGATCAAGATTACAACTTCTACCTGATAAGTTTTGGTATTCTCATTACCTGTTTGCTGGATAATGTATTGACGTTAGGGGGAGAATTGACATGTCGATCACTTCTGGGAATTAAAAGGGTAATCCTGCATTATTTTTAAATGCACTTTTTTTTTCTGTCTTTCAGATTTATCCCAGTCAACCTCTGCAGTTGTGGGACCCATACTTTTTATATTTGGTAGTTTGGCAATAGGTTTGATTGCCTCTAAACTAAGATAGCAGATAAAGTGTGAAGATATCTAATTGAATGATTGATTTGTTATTAATTTATTAGAAAATTTATTTTTAATATAATTATTTCTTGTGTCTATGAGATTTTAGCCACAAAGGGGAAAAATGTACGAAGTATTTTTTTTTATGGTTGAATTATGTTTTGGTATGTCTGTGGCATGTATTACCAGTATTATTACCATATTAATAACATTAAAAAGGGTGAGGGTTTAGTATATCAACTTTGTAGTGCAGTTCCAAGGATCGTCGGTTTTAGAGTAATTCTCAATGGAGTGTCAACAGTAATCTGAAGTTGCTTTGGTTTTACTTAACATTGTTTTGAGATCTAGAAAGCTTGCTCCTTCCCATCAACCAATCTGATTGAAATCTAAAACCAATAGCAAGTTATTCACTCTTGCGCCCACCTCCTTCAGGCTTGTTTAAATTTGAGCTCTTGTGACATTTTCCTTCCTTTTCCTTCCTTCCTTGTGATTGCTTTTGTTTTGGTTTCATGACACTCAGTCAAAATGTGCTCCTCTTACCACCTGAGGTATTTTAACCCTTACTCTTAAGATCAGAGCAGTTATTCTCCCCTTTAGATGCAATAGAATTCCTTGTAAATTAGCAGGAGCATTTGGTATTACATCTAAACAAGACCTGATAAGTTGGTGGCTTATTATAACGTGTTCTTTGGCAGTTGTACTGACAGCTGAGGGAAAAGTAAAATTTCAATCACGTACGAGTGAAAGGGTGAATTGATACCATGGCACACGAGCGTGTTTGTTGATGTTCTTCTGCTATGACCTTCTCTTGGTAACACCAATTTATTTATCCATCAGATTTATATATAGGATAGATTATTTTACTTGTGTGACAATTTAACTCATTATCACATTTGAATCAACATTAAAACAACAATAATGAACTTTTTTGTTGACTCTTGTGTTACATGGACTACAAAGAAGTACTTTGGAATTGTCATGAAGTAAATTTGGTTTAACTTGCAATAGAGTTCTCTTTCCCATGGTGCACCATTCTTTCTGGGTGAAATAGAGGAAATATTCAAACATAGAAATTTGAAATACAACAATTTAACTTTTGCAACTTTCGCAGATAACTGGAGATATCTATTGGAGAGCTATTCAAAGCATGTCATTGATAAACCTTGGCGATGATTGAGTGAGATACGGCAAAAAAGTCAGTAAGAAAAGAGCCATCATTAGTTTGGAAAGCACACTTCTTTTTCATCGTGTAGAGCTTTTTCGTTGGCTTTCGACACTTGTCAGAATAAACTCTGCCCATTCAGCAGCCGCTTGTTTCAATTTTACACATTCTCTCGTATAATAGATTTTGTTTGTTATTCATCAACTGTGACGTAGCATTGATTCTGCAAGCCCAGATTCTTTACCGATGTGACAGCATTCCCATTCCTTTTGCTCTCTTTCTTTCTGCGCCAACCCTTCGGTTATGATTGGCTCTCAATCCTTTATTCCGTTCATTGTGTGCTCTGTTCTTCTTCTCTGCATCACTTACACCCCTACCACGCCCTTTGGGCCCACCCTTTTGCCCCTCTTTCGCTGCGTCTCCGTCCTTTTCACCTTTCTTTGGTTTACGCGGGCCACGGTAGCGTCGATTCACGAGTGCTTTGTCTATTTCTGGTTCATCTTCTTTCGCTTTTCCTTCCCCAGAAGAGCTCTCTTCTTCGCTCTCTTCGTCAGACGGCTCAGGAGATCCGCCAAGAACACGTGGAATAGTGAACGGCCTGTAAGAAATGAGAGTTGATTATTCACAGAGTACTTCTAACTTCTTGGTCGAAAAAAGATCCAAGTTGCCATTTTATTCTGACCAACGTGTTTATCTAGAGAGTAAGGTTACCTTTCCCCTTCTAACTCCTGAGAGTGACTGGGTTCTAATTTCTCCTCAAATGTAAAGGTCGTGAGAATAATGGAAACGATCACAAGTTTAACAAGCTTCTGATTGTTAAAAAAAACAAATTCTCCCTGTCATTATCACACGAAATTTATCAAGAACAGTGCGGAGAATACAATACTAATGTTAGGGCGTAAAGGTTAAAGACTATCGTTCATATTATTTAAAGAGGGCTGCT